GCACGGGGGACACTAGGGAGACACGGGGGGCATTTTGGGGGCACAGGAGGGATTGTGAGGGGCCGGGGGGGGCACAGAGGGGGTCACCAAGCCCCCCCCCTCCCCCTGGCAGTTCCTGTGCGAGGAGGGGGTCAGGGATCACATGGCCTGGGTGGGGACACTGGGAGGGCACAAGGGGCATTGTGGGGGGCCCGGGGGGCACAGAGGGGGTCACCAAGCCCCCCCCCCATCCCCCCCGGCAGTTCCTGTGCGAGGAGGGGGCCGGCGATTACATCGCGCGGGTGGACGAGCCGCAGTCGTGCTCGTACGTGCTGACGGTGCACACAACCAGGATCTGCCACCACCCGTTCCTGCGGCCCCCCCCGGGGCTGGCCCCGCAGCCCATCCGCTGCCAGCCCGCGCTGCCCCCCGCCCAGTATGTCCAGTACGTGCGGGCACAAGTCTGTGAGTACCGGGGGGAGCAGGGTGGGGATGGCACTGTCACCTCCCTGGGGTGGGGCCGGCACTGTCACCTCCCTGGGGTGGGACCAGCATTGTCACCTCCCTGGGGTGGGGATGGGACTGTCCCCTCCCACCGCGGGGCTGGCACTGTCACCTCCCACCGGGGGATAGGACTGTCACCTCCCTGGGGCGGGGATGGGACTGTCCCCTCCCTGGCCCTGTCCCTTCCTTGGCACTGTGTCCCCTGTCCCAGGGCTGGCCCTGTCCCCTCCCTGGCCCTGTCCCCTCTGGCACAGCACTGGAGCTGTCCCCCAGTGTGGGGCTGGCCCTGGTCCTGTCCCAGGGGTGGCCCTGTCCCTGTGTCCCTCTGGCTCATCCCTGTCCCCTCTCCCCCCTTTGTCACTGTTCCTGTGTGTGCTGTCCCCTTGACTGTCCCCTGTCCCTTTGGCTGTCCCACTCTCCTCTGTTGCTGTCCTCTCTGTCCTTGTCTCCTGTGTCCCTGTCCCTGTGTCCCCTGTGTCCCTGTTCCCCTGTGTCCCCCATGTCCCTGTGTCCCTGTGTCCCTGTCCCCCCTGTGTCCCCTGTGTCCCCTCTCCCCTGTGTCCCCCTGTCCCCTGTCCCCCCTGTGTCCCAGCTGACACCAAGCGGAAGGTTCAGGAGATCTCGGAGGAGCTGCGCTCGCTGGACACGCGGCTGTGGAGTGACAGGGACACCCCCCCCCAGCCCCCCCGGGGGGCCCACGGGGACGGTACGGACCCTGTCCCACCCCCAGGGGACAATATGGACCCTGTCCCACCCCTGGGGACAGTAGGGACCCTGTCCCACCCCCAGGGGACAGTAGGGACTCTATCCCACCCCCTGGGGACAGTAGGGACCCTGTCCCACCCCCTGGGGACAATATGGACCCTGTCCCACCCCTGGGGACAGTATGGACCCTGTCCCACCCCCAGGGGACACTCCAGCCCCTGTCCTCCCTCTGTGCCCTCTGTGCCACGGTGACAGCCCAGTGTCCCCTTTCCCTGTGGGACCCCCCAGGGCTGTGGGTTCAGAGCCCCCCATGCCAGCTGTGTGTCCCCAAACCAGCTGTGTCCCCAAACCAGCTGTGTGTCCCCAAACCAGCCGTGTCCCCATGCCAACTGTGTCCCCCAGTGCCAGCTGTGTCCCCATGCCAGCTGTGTCCCCCCAGTGTCATCTGTGTGTCCCCCCAGTGCCAACTGTGTCCCCAATGCCACCTGTGTGTCCCCCCCCTCCTCAGCAGGGGACCAGGCAGAGCCAGCCCAGGATGTGGCACTTGGGGACCAGGAGGTGACAGCGGCTGCTGGGCAGCAGGACGGTGCTGGGGTGAGTCCTGGTGGCCCTGGGGACATTGGGGTGGCTCTGGGGACATTCCCTGGGGTTGTGGGGGGGTGTCAGTGTGGGTGGGGGTGGATTTTGGGGTCCTGCTCCATCCCCACTGCTGTCCCTGCAGGAGCCATCCCCGAGGGCAGGCGGTGACCGCATGGCTGGTGAGTCCCGGGGTGTCCCCCCAGTGTCCCCTCAGTGTCCCCCCAGTGTCCCCCAGTGTACCCCCAGTGTCCCCTGCCCCTTCCACCCCCCCATCCCAGGTCCCTCCCCCCGTAGATCCCCGGAGGAAAATCCACTTCAAGGTGATCCGGAGCCCCGGGGACCTCCTGCAGTTCATCGAGGAGCTCAAGGAGACCACCAGGAAGGTGGGGACCCCCCCTCTGTGCCCCCCCTCATTCCCCTCCGTGCCACAGTGTCCCCCTGACCCCTCCCCCCGCCCCAGGCCAAGGGCAAGGCCCGCCAGGAGGAGGAGGAGGAGGAGGAGGAGGAGG